TATACACAATTAACAATGCACAACACCACCTTGCAACCTGTAACTATCCAAGCCCTTCAATACTTTCTTACTATTTGGAGACAAGACCCCACTGCCTAAAATAACTTAGAAATTTGTTCCCAAAATATTTTCTTGTAGAACCCTAATGACTCTAACGATACTAGTGACATTACTAGGCTAGTAAATACCACAATGGACCTCCCATCCGAACCTATTAACACAAATACCCTCTTGCAGTGTTGTCATGGGACACAGACGCGGACAGCGGACATGTCCGGGATGGGACATCCGCGGACATGTCCGGGAAAATTTTTTTGTCCCGGACATCTATGCTAATTTTGGTAATCAGCACGTGACTATCAACCAATAAATTTATTTATAAATTACTATCACTGTCAAGCGACTTCATTATTATTATTTACGCTCAACCAAGACCAGGGTGTTAATAAACACCTGGTTTACATATAGCCATATATTTTTAACAGCTTGAACTTGCTTGAACGTTGAATATATCGGAAATACTCAAAATATATAATACTGATTGAACCAACTCATCTGTTAACATTTAAATAAAATAACGATAAGTATTAATTTATAAAGATAATAAGTCAAACTGAATACGTACAAAGTTTTTCAAATTTACTCTCAACATATTTATTTTTAGTAGCTTCCGTATAGTCAATTAATTCATATTAGGGCTTTAGATTTTCCCGAAAAATATATCAAGCAGTTTCCTTAACATGAGCTACCAGTCAGGGTTGGCAATGGAGTTCAATGAAGCCCAATGGAGTTGCGAATAGAACCAATAGAACTCTGAATGGAACCAATGGATAGTAGTATTTTGAGTTCCATTCACATAACCATTGAGCTACATTGGTTTCATTGCCAACCCTGGCTACCAATTAAGATGGTGTTCAATCAATACGACTAATTGAAGCAGTTATTGTATCAATTTACTAAGGGTGTTCTCAAGCCTTAACCTCGTTTGTGATCGTAACTATAATTATATTTGCAAATATACAAATTATGAATTAATCAAAGTTTGCTCTCTGCGATTAGCTAATAAACGTGACGATACTACTCGTTTACTATAATCAATCAAAATTGAGCGATTCATTAATATTTTACCAAATGTTATTATTACTACGTTTAGTTTATTAATATTCAATTGTTGCATGATAAGGTTACTTATACGATCTCTTTGAATACTTAATTAGTTGTAAATTTTGCCAAGCCGGAGATAAAAAAAAGATGGTCTGCTGTAAAATGTTTATAAATTGAAGTGTAAACTACGATGTTAATTTAAATATTCATTACAGTTCAAACCCTTTAAAATATTTTCTGTTAAGTAAATTTATTCTGTGATTAAAGGTTTAAATGCGATTTCAAATTTAACCAATTAGTTTAATTCTGAAAAAAAGAAACTGTTTTTAACTTTTTTTTGTTAACATTGTACTATCAATATTGATTTAGGTGCCCGCTATTTTGATAAAGTCATACTATCTAAACCCATATTGATAACCTTATAATCAAATTCTAAATATTGCGATCTTTTTACTATCAAATGAAGATAATTTATTATAGAGCATAATTTATAATAAATAATAATAATAATAATAATAAATCGAATAACCTATTTATTTTTACTGCTAATTATCTTTTTCCTACTATTCCGATATCATTTTGACAATTATAACCAATTTAAAATATTATTTGTCTTAATAAATTTAGTGAAATGGAAGATCCAAAGAACAAAATAAATTAGATAATTTCCATTTCGCATCTTCATCTAGAGCTGGGTGAGTACTATTATCTAACTCTATAAGATCATCTTGATCTTTGATTATATCTGCCTCTTCCTCTTCATTTAACATTTCTACCCACCCTTGAAGATACTCACCAAATTCTGTCTCAGAAATATAAGTCAAATCACATTCTTCATTATCTTCAATTTCTTTATTATCTTCATCTAAATACTCATTTTGTGTTTTATCTGATGAACCAATATTATTATTACTATTAGCCATGTCGATATCTGATATTTCTGCATTTAACGAATTAGTATTATCATGTGTTATTTGGGTTGTAGTATTATCATGTGTTGCTTGAGTTGTAGTATTATCATGTGCTATTTGAGTTGCAGTATTATCATGTGTTGACGCAGTATTTAAAAAAGTAGAAAAGAGATTATCTGGTTCACGACGATGTTGATAAGTTATATCAGCACGCAATTTACTCATATCAAGTGCCTTTTGTGTCTAAAATATATAAAAAAAAATATTGCAAAGGAAAATTCAGAATTCCTACCGCTATTAAATAAAAAATTCAGCGAAATTGGGTTTACTGAAAAATTAATTGCAACCCAATTATTATACAATTATAACTGATTATAATTACTGTCGTAACTAATTAATGATAAGAAATAATTGTAATTAATTTCCATTGTCGTATTGGCGTGATAAATTATTGTATGGGACAAATAAGAAATTACTAATTAATTATATTATTCTCACACAAATGATTTATCACACCTAAAATTGCAACTAATTGACTCATTGTGGCTGCGCCACCAATCAATTATCTATAATTGAGTTCAAATAACGATAATCGCAATTAATTTTTCTCACAATCAATTATTCGGTATGCCTGATATATAAAAATAATTTCAGGATTAGAGTGTCCAGACTCATGTGATTTCAGGGATTTTTCATTGTTTAAACAATGAAAAATCCCTGAAATCACATGAGTCTGGACACTCTAATCCTGAAATTATTTTTATATATCAGGCATACCGAATAATTGATTGTGAGAAAAATTAATTGCGATTATCGTTATTTGAACTCAATTATAGATAATTGATTGGTGGCGCAGCCACAATGAGTCAATTAGTTGCAATTTTAGGTGTGATAAATCATTTGTGTGAGAATAATATAATTAATTAGTAATTTCTTATTTGTCCCATACAATAATTTATCACGCCAATACGACAATGGAAATTAATTACAATTATTTCTTATCATTAATTAGTTACGACAGTAATTATAATCAGTTATAATTGTATAATAATTGGGTTGCAATTAATTTTTCAGTAAACCCAATTTCGCTGAATTTTTTATTTAATAGCGGTAGGAATTCTGAATTTTCCTTTGCAATATTTTTTTTTATATATTTTAGACACAAAAGGCACTTGATATGAGTAAATTGCGTGCTGATATAACTTATCAACATCGTCGTGAACCAGATAATCTCTTTTCTACTTTTTTAAATACTGCGTCAACACATGATAATACTGCAACTCAAATAGCACATGATAATACTACAACTCAAGCAACACATGATAATACTACAACCCAAATAACACATGATAATACTAATTCGTTAAATGCAGAAATATCAGATATCGACATGGCTAATAGTAATAATAATATTGGTTCATCAGATAAAACACAAAATGAGTATTTAGATGAAGATAATAAAGAAATTGAAGATAATGAAGAATGTGATTTGACTTATATTTCTGAGACAGAATTTGGTGAGTATCTTCAAGGGTGGGTAGAAATGTTAAATGAAGAGGAAGAGGCAGATATAATCAAAGATCAAGATGATCTTATAGAGTTAGATAATAGTACTCACCCAGCTCTAGATGAAGATGCGAAATGGAAATTATCTAATTTATTTTGTTCTTTGGATCTTCCATTTCACTAAATTTATTAAGACAAATAATATTTTAAATTGGTTATAATTGTCAAAATGATATCGGAATAGTAGGAAAAAGATAATTAGCAGTAAAAATAAATAGGTTATTCGATTTATTATTATTATTATTATTATTTATTATAAATTATGCTCTATAATAAATTATCTTCATTTGATAGTAAAAAGATCGCAATATTTAGAATTTGATTATAAGGTTATCAATATGGGTTTAGATAGTATGACTTTATCAAAATAGCGGGCACCTAAATCAATATTGATAGTACAATGTTAACAAAAAAAAGTTAAAAACAGTTTCTTTTTTTCAGAATTAAACTAATTGGTTAAATTTGAAATCGCATTTAAACCTTTAATCACAGAATAAATTTACTTAACAGAAAATATTTTAAAGGGTTTGAACTGTAATGAATATTTAAATTAACATCGTAGTTTACACTTCAATTTATAAACATTTTACAGCAGACCATCTTTTTTTTATCTCCGGCTTGGCAAAATTTACAACTAATTAAGTATTCAAAGAGATCGTATAAGTAACCTTATCATGCAACAATTGAATATTAATAAACTAAACGTAGTAATAATAACATTTGGTAAAATATTAATGAATCGCTCAATTTTGATTGATTATAGTAAACGAGTAGTATCGTCACGTTTATTAGCTAATCGCAGAGAGCAAACTTTGATTAATTCATAATTTGTATATTTGCAAATATAATTATAGTTACGATCACAAACGAGGTTAAGGCTTGAGAACACCCTTAGTAAATTGATACAATAACTGCTTCAATTAGTCGTATTGATTGAACACCATCTTAATTGGTAGCCAGGGTTGGCAATGAAACCAATGTAGCTCAATGGTTATGTGAATGGAACTCAAAATACTACTATCCATTGGTTCCATTCAGAGTTCTATTGGTTCTATTCGCAACTCCATTGGGCTTCATTGAACTCCATTGCCAACCCTGACTGGTAGCTCATGTTAAGGAAACTGCTTGATATATTTTTCGGGAAAATCTAAAGCCCTAATATGAATTAATTGACTATACGGAAGCTACTAAAAATAAATATGTTGAGAGTAAATTTGAAAAACTTTGTACGTATTCAGTTTGACTTATTATCTTTATAAATTAATACTTATCGTTATTTTATTTAAATGTTAACAGATGAGTTGGTTCAATCAGTATTATATATTTTGAGTATTTCCGATATATTCAACGTTCAAGCAAGTTCAAGCTGTTAAAAATATATGGCTATATGTAAACCAGGTGTTTATTAACACCCTGGTCTTGGTTGAGCGTAAATAATAATAATGAAGTCGCTTGACAGTGATAGTAATTTATAAATAAATTTATTGGTTGATAGTCACGTGCTGATTACCAAAATTAGCATAGATGTCCGGGACAAAAAAATTTTCCCGGACATGTCCGCGGATGTCCCATCCCGGACATGTCCGCTGTCCGCGTCTGTGTCCCATGACAACACTGCAAGAGGGTATTTGTGTTAATAGGTTCGGATGGGAGGTCCATTGTGGTATTTACTAGCCTAGTAATGTCACTAGTATCGTTAGAGTCATTAGGGTTCTACAAGAAAATATTTTGGGAACAAATTTCTAAGTTATTTTAGGCAGTGGGGTCTTGTCTCCAAATAGTAAGAAAGTATTGAAGGGCTTGGATAGTTACAGGTTGCAAGGTGGTGTTGTGCATTGTTAATTGTGTATA